TCTAATTAAAGCCTTTGGGTTTTGTTTCAGAAAATTAAAATTGTGTCTAAGGAAGGAAAATGTATTTAGAAAAATGCAGGCTTAATACTATTTTTTACATACTATGATTTTCTTATTGGAACATAATACTCTTATGTGATTTCAAAAAGATCATTTTCATGTAAAACACAACAAATTAAGTCTAAAATAAATTAAAATAATAATTCACAACTTATTACCAAAAGTACTTTTGCTAAAATTAAAGCTGTCACTCCCAATTCTGTTTAAATTTTAACTTAGAACAGTTTATCTTAATTGCATAGTTTAAATTTTAGATTCTTAGGACATTTCAAAATAGCTTTTTCATAATGTGTATTGACATTTTCCTCATTGCAATTTTCAGTCTGGACTGTGGGAATGACAATTGCTATTCTATTTAAATCCATATTATTCTGACATATAAACATTTAGAACTGATAAAATATTATTTTTGATTGCTTGCTGTTTTTTGTTTCTGTCTAGACCATAATGTGTTTAGTGAATAAAGGCAGAATTTGTCATATATGTGCTCAAAAAGTTTAATGAATTAATGAAATATATTTTTGTGTTATGCCTTATAGTACGTCAGACGGTGGAGGAACTAAATAACTACCAGCTGCTTAATAAGCTGGTAATGATAAAAGATGTTCCTAAAAGATTCAAACTATATGAGCACTCTTAAGAATCATTGTCCGCTTTCTTTAAAATGCTGAATTAAGGTATTTTCTATAGGCAAAGCAACAATGTGTTTTGCATGTCCATAAATGTCAGCAGAAAGCGAGAATGAGATGACTTGTTCTCTCTGTCCAAGATGTAGGACAGCAAATTCATCATTAAACAAAATGTTAACACTAGTTATTTTATGCTACTTATTTACTCTTCACAGTCTGTTCTCTTTAAATTATCACCATTAGTAGTTATTTTAACTATAAATTAGAATATGCTGGGGTATGTGGAAAACAGAGGATAACATTCCTCTGACTGAGTTCCTACACTGTCACTTGACCTACAATGTTAGCTAATAACAGAGGATTATGAGTAAGATGCCCCAAGAATCACATCAAGGTTGGGATTTGGACAATTTTAATCCTGTCTACTCTTATCAGAGATTTTAAAAACATGTAAAAATATAACAAAGTTTATTGTGAGGAACTGTTGAAATTAATGACTAAGCAAGAAAATCTAAATTATGGAGAAATTATGTTATATTAGTATTGAATATCTGTAATAGGGAAGAGAATAGTAGTAAAACAAATGGCAGCCCAGAGATAACATAGTTCATTATGATGCATAGTAGTCTGGGCATGTATTTTATAAGGTTGAAGAGGCCTGTAAATACTCCAAGGGAAATAAAAGTGCAAATATTAAATGTGAACCAAAGAACATATGAAGGAACCAAGATATATGAATGGTGTTATTATCTAATAGTGCAGATAATCCCCAATACACAGAGTTTATTCAGGGATAATTATGACTTATCATTTCAATTAGTTGAACATGCCCTAATCATCTTTCCATAGATATTCCTGAGCAGGTTTCATATACAACTTTCTTATTTGTATTAATAAAATGTGCTTTTAAAGTCTCCAAGAAACCCTCAGCCATTTTTTGATCTTCCTCTCTTTCTGATAGATGGATCTACATACTCAGTAAGCCAACAAGTTATATTTGTTTCTTCAAATTGGAAACAGCTCCTATATCTGTCCCTTCCTGCTACTGTTCAATTCCAAGCCTTCATCACAGCACTCTAAAATTACTACAACAAACTTCTAAGGGATTTTCTTCTCATGCCTCCCTCAAATCCACTATATATACATGTCCAGACTACTGTCTACTATGCATCATAATAAACTATGTTCTCTCTGGGCTGCCATTTGTTTTACTACTATTCTGTCCCATACTACAGATATTCAAAAGTAATATAACATAATTTCTCCATAATTTAGATTTTCTTGCTTAGTCATTAATTTCAACACTTCACTATTTTAATCTTTGTATATAGCAATTTTGATTTCCCTTCTCAAATATCTCCACTGGCTCTTAACCATGTCCAGAATAATGTCTCATCTACTCTGATTTGTCTTTATACTCCTCCAGAATTTGGCTTCATATAAGCAGTCTAATCCAGCCCTCACCAAACATGAACTATGCATTTGAGTTAGGCTTTTCCCAGTGTTGTGCAGCCAACGCCATTTTGAAATCTTTCCTTATGCTTTTCTCCCTGGGTGGTATTCACCAACACTTTTCTCTATACATCTAAACCTCCTGCCCCTCCTCTTCCTCCAAAACATTCATTTTGTGTACGAAAATATGTTTAATGGAATTGTTCAATTATGAAATGTTTAACATGTGAATGTCTATGTCTTCCCTCAAATTAAGATATGGCTCATATTTCACTCTTCTTTGTGGCACTCTATCTTGCATTCCATATAGTGAGCAAATTAACTTGAAATATAAAATAGGGTCTCCAGTTTAAAAATTGTTACTAAAGGCCTCATGGATTTAGATTTGGTATAAAATTTATTTTTAAAGAGTGACTTGCTTTTTATATGTAGCTTTGTGCTTACACAATTTGTTTTCTAGCCTGTCTCCCTCCAGAGCACAATTTGCTTTTTTATTTCTTTGTTTTGTTTTTTCAGACAAGATCTACAGTGTAGTCCAGGATAGCCTTCAACTCACCATTCTTCTGTTTCCTACCTCTACCTGCCTCCAGAGTGCTAGAATTACAGGCAAGCAACCACCACATCTAGCCATAATTTTCTTTTTAAAAAATTGATAAGAAAACTTATTTTTCAAAAGCAACATATAGATATATATAATTTAGTTCAGTTTACATTTCAATTATCACATATTTTGAGTGAGTTGCTAAATTTGATTTTTAGTATTACAGATTACCAAGTAGATCTGTTTGATACTAGTAATTGCTGAAGGATTATGAATATTCCCAAGCAGGGAATTAATCATTGTTTTATTTGAAATCAAGGAATAGTCTAAATATTCTATCATACTTAAGCTTTCTTTTTTTTCCTGGGTAGAAATATGAACCATTTCATCCACATAGAAAAATGATCCTCATATTTTATCAAGTTTCACTTCAAGACTTTGTAACCTTATAAAGCTATAAGTGGAAAAAATCAAGATTAACATATTGTAACATGATAAATATGCTTAACAGGACCCTCAAGAATCAAACCTTCCTATAAAGTGTTTTGCTATTATGTTTTCAATTGGCAAATTTTTAATAAATCAAAACTGAAGAGGCACAAGAGGCAAATGAGAAAATTAAATCATGTACCATTGTTTTAAAAAATGGCAAATTTATGCCAACATCAAGAGAAATGTAACCATTATGCATATAGCCACACTTCTGACTATAATTATATGCCATTTCAGCCTTTATGCTACAAAAAAATGGTATTAAAAGAGAAATCTTAAAGATAATATCAGATTTTATCTTCAAGAAAATTAAAACTTATCCTTTGAGAATTCCACAGACTATAATAAAAGTATAGTTTATAATAGCTTTAAATGAGATTAAAGTGACAGTTTTTAAATATCCTATCTTTCTTAATAGATGACTATAATTTATATGTTCACTTCAGGCTTTTGCAGTTCTTTCTGTAGGAAAAGAAGAATAATCTAAGAGAATATTAATTGTTTTAACTAGTGAAAATGCATTTCTAAAATAGTTTTAAAATCTTTCCAAAGTTCTGAGGGAGAGCTCTTAAATGCTTGGACACAATAAAATACTATTGCTTTGAATTGAAAATTTATGTATTTTTTGCCTTTCATTGAATAAGTACAACCAATTTAAAAATTATGTAGCACAGATGCATTTCAAAGTGACAAATTATAAAGTGCACTGCCAGAGTACAATGATAATTGTTATTCTCAAGTATCCACATGCAAACAGTATTGGATTTGAATGTTTCAAAACAAGTAATAGTACTTGATAGCAGAACTACACGGTGAAAACTTTTAGAAAAGTACTTCTCATTAAACCTTACAGAAAATATCCACATTATCAGCTAACTCATGTATAAACATACTGTCATCTGACTCCAGAAATTAATTTCTCAGTGCAAACATAGACTTGCAGTAAATACTGTAACTAAAAACATGGACTGTGAGGAGAATGATGGACATTGGTGAATACAAAGGAGACCTGTTTAATGAAAAAATAAATAAAGTAGATGCATAACAAGGAGTGGTGTGCACAAACAAGGGAAGGGTAACAGATACTAAGGAGGAAAAGAGCAACTGGCTATAAACAAAATGATCATGAAATTCAGAAGAGTAGAATGGAAGGCAGAAATAGTTCCTCTTTTTGAGCCAAATAGAATTAAAATTTACTAAGTGAAATTCATTTGTAGTATCAGTTAGGTAAATTTTAATATCAATTGTACTTCACACTTTGCCATACCCACCTCTCTGAATTGTGAGGATCAAATATATTCTGTATGAAAGTTCTACATAAACTAAAAAATGTTGTATTTGTAAGATAGAGGAGATCTAGTCAAAATTTGAACAAAACCTCTCATTCCAGAGAGTGCCAGCAATAAACTCTCCATGACAGAGGGGAGAAAATTTCCCTCTGGTCCGTTCCCAGATTTTCTTGGAACAGTACACTCTACAGTCAGGCCAAGAGCTGACTTTGAACGCAGAACAAATACACTAACAGACAGGACTAACAGACATGTAGGCAATGTCACCTAAGAATTTTGTGAAGAAAAATCCTTCTTAATCTATGGAAGAAATAAATTCTCTTCTCTGCTTCTTAGCACTCATAAAACTTTACTGCCTAAAAAAGTGTGATATTAAATTATACTAATTTATCCTCATTGAAGAGGGAACTAGGAGGAGAGAAAAAGTAAAAAAAAAAAAAAAAAAAAAAACAGAAAATCTTCAAAGCACACCAAAACATATTTTTCCCTTCAATACCAACTACTACTAGGATGGAAAAGGAAGTCCAATATGCACCACATAAATGAAAATTTCTATTACTGTTTTAAAGCTAGGAAACTAAGGCTCAGCCAGATTTAATGACTATTTTAAGGTCACTTATTCAACATCACAGAGGCAATAATTCAGTCTGAGTTCATATCATGTGAAAGCCCTGGCATTTTCTACAACGACATAGCTTCCAACAAAAAAAAAGCTACCTCAAACCATACTTCTAGCTGTTTTATTATTCTACTAATGGATATTATATTTTTGGCACTATGTAAAATTGTCATTAAATTTTTAAAATTAACCACCATTTCCTCTTTCATCATATAATGTTCAAAAGGGAACGCTTGAAGCATGTACATTAGTCACTGTAAAATACACTAAATTTATCCAGAAATAGCACAAAACTCATAAAAATACAAAGCTGAAAAGACCATAGAGGCAATCTACTCAAACAACCTCCTTTTATAAATAAGGAAATTAAGGCTCAGAGAGGTTAAGTGAGTTGCTCAGGGTCACAGAACGTGTCAGTTCCAGACTCAAGAATTTAAATCTCCAAATTTGTAATCCAGGGATGTGTTCTTTTGCAAAACCAGTAAGAAATGGCTGCATGTGAGCATTCAGTCCAGAATACCCTCAAAATTGAGCGTGTAATAAAAGTAAGCCACATGGCAAGGAACAAATAGACTCGGTTCATACCAAAAACGAGCTGCCAGTCACCGTGATAAGATCTGTTTCTTTCTGAGAACCATGGTTTCCTGTTGGATTGGAGAATCCAAACTGGGTTTCTTCCTCCTGCCCAAAGAAGTCAGAGTCAGGATGTACATTCCAATCAGCTTTGGCTGGTGTCAGTAGTTCTGAGACACTGTTTTCACAAAGGGTGCTCGAGGGAGTCAGAGGTTCCGTGTCCACTGTTAGCTTATTGCTGGGTGTCAAAGCTTGGGGCTCTGGACTTGAGTTCTTCATAGCCAAACAGCCCAGAGATCCCAAAGGGGCCACACTTACAGTGGAGACATCATCCACATCTAACGGGCTCTGCTGAAAACCAGCCGCTGTCGTTCCGAAAAAGAGAGAGGTATCCAGACTTTGAGGAAGGTCATTGGTGCCCCTCAAGGCCCGAGGGTCCACAGCCTGCCCTAAGGAATTATTACCATTGGCAGGGAGGCTCCCCGCCAGAGTTGAGCTGACAGAAGCCACATCAATAGTCAAAATTCCAGAATTTACCAATGCCGTGTCCAGCACTGCAGCAGAACTGTTGCCAGGCACCTCAGAGAAGAGAGATACTATCTCTGGACCACTGAGATCGCTCTGTCCCTGGCTGGTAAGTTCGCTGCTGGGTGTAAGAGAATTTGCAGCTTCTAGCTGAGCTAAGAGATCCTGGCCGAGGTTGTGCCTTTTGGCCATGTGGGTTTTCATGCTGTGCTTGGATGTGAAGAGTTTATTACAGGTGGCGACCGGGCAACGGCTTTTCCAAGTGTCCACATCCTGCAGATGTTTCTTGGAGTGGATGTAGAGGCTACTTCGAGCGGAGAACCTGGCACAGCAGCCTTCCACGGGACACACGAAAGGTTTTGTGCCCAGGTGGGTTATGCTGTGGCCTTTCAGATGCTCAGCCCTCGTAAAAGACTTCCCGCAACCCTCTACAGGGCACGTGAACCTCCGGTCGTCGTCGTGCTTCCTTTTGTGCCTTAACAGTTTGGACATACTGGTGAAGTTCCAGCCACAGCCGTCAAAGTCACAAAGGAAAGGTCTCTCACCGGTGTGGCTTCGCAGATGAATCTTCAGCCTACAAGCCTTGTCGTATTGTTTGCTGCAGCCAGGGAAGGAGCAGGCAAAGAGTTCCTGTTCCCTGAAATGGGCGCGGTTATGGGAAAACAGGGCACTCACTGTAATAAACGTCTTCTTGCAGCCGGAGAACGCACACTGGTAGGGCCTCTCGGGCTCGAAGTGGCTGCGCTGGTGGGTGCTGAGCTTGGCCTGCGTGGGGAAACTCTCCTCGCACACCTCGCATTTGAACGAGTTCTCTTGCTCGTGGCCCTTCATGTGCGCTTTGAGGTTGTACACGGTGGTGAAGCTCTTGCCACAGCCCTCCGCTGGGCAGCCAAAAGGCCGCAGTTTGTCGTGCGACTGCAGGTGCCTCTTGAGCTTGTAAGATGTGGTGAAGGTCCAGCCGCAGCCGCCCAGGGGGCACTTGAAGGGCCGCTGGCCCTGGCTACTGCTGTGCGTCAGCAGGTGCACCTTCAGCTGGTGCTTCTTGGCGAAGGTCTGTCCGCACTGCGCCTCGGGGCACAGGTAGAGCACTACGCCTGGACCGGGGACCAGCGGCCCGCGGGGGCTCTGGGCGGCGGCCCGGCCCTCAGCCTCCTCCTCGGGCGCCGGGGCGCGCGCGGGTTCCGCGGGCTCGGCCAGCAGGAGGTCTGGCGGCAGCTCTGGGCAGTCTCCCAGCTGTGCGGCGGCCTGCGGAATCCCGGCTGGCGGGGCAGTTAGACCCCCCGGCTGCGGAAAAGGTACGACCCCCGGCTCCCAGGCGGGCAGCGGGGGCGTGGTCAGGGTGAGGACGCCGTTCTCAAAGCGCAACAGCAAGTCCTGGTTGTGGATAGTGATGGTGCCTGCGAAGGCCGCCGCGGGGCCCGGGCCTGAGGCGGGGACCGGGGCCGGGGCCGGGGCCGGGGCCGGAGCCGAGGTCGGGGCCGGAACCGCGGGCAGGCAACGGGGATCCAGCGCAAGGCGGCCCGCGGAGTTCGCGCCGCTCTCGCCCCGCTCAGGCCCCAGGCCCACCTCGGCCTCCTCCCTCCACACGGGCCCTCCGGCCTGGTCGGTGCCCGCGGTTTCCACGTCGCCACCCACCGGGTCAAGCAGCAACAGGAAGAAGTCGTCGCCGCCGCTGCTGGGGTGATCCGGCCTCGGCGCCAACGGGCTCGGGCTTGGGCCCGGGCCCCGTGAGGCCCTGTGGGCCTCCTCGCTCCGCGGCTCGGGCCCGCCATCTTGGGCCCCCCGGAGCAGTAGGAGGCGGCGCGCCGGGGCTTGACAAGACTGCGACTCAGGGCCTCGGTGGACCCCGCCGCCGCCCGCGGGGCAACAGCCGCCGCCGCCCTGTGGTGTCCGGCGAGCCGGGAGCAGCCTCGGGATTTCCATCTCTGCGTCGGTGAGGCTCCGCTGGCACCAGAGCCGAGGCGGAGGCACGACCCCGCCCCCTGCCGCGGGCCCGAACACGTTCCTGAAAGGAAAAAAAAAATGTGCAATGCGCAGAAACTGGCCCTATCAGATATTAAGACGTATTTAACGCCATCGTGATTTAAATATTCTGGTACTGGGTCTCTGGGACAGAATGGAAAGCCCAGAGGCAGAGACTCATGAATAAATAAGTTCCACTGTTTATATTAGTAAGGGCTTCTGAGGTAATGGGGAAATGACAGCTCATTTGGTAATGGGAATGGTGCTAGGGTACCTAGGTATCTATCCCACACAAACGACCTAAATCCATACCTCACTGTATACACCCAAATAAATACATCCCAGCCTCTCCTGATGCTAAGCATGTTGCTTGTTACTTTTTCTCTGTTAAAAATTGTTTACCGTCTGACTGCATGGCTGGATTGGTGGATGAGAGAATATTTCCCAGAGGAAATCTCTAGACTCAGAATCATCTTCAGCAAGGTCTTGGGTAAAATTTTTCACACAGTTAGGTTTTTGTCCTCCTGATGCAGGGATTAGAATAAACGATGAGGCCCAAACAGATTACCACCACTCAGCCTAGAAATGCAAAGCCTGGAGGATGAAGCAATTTATACAGAAATCTGGAAAACCTAACCTGCGCCTGGTTTCTCCCTCTCCGTTTGCAGTGCTCAGCCTAAACCAACTCTTTGCCCTTCCATCGTTGGTTACATCATGATAAATTTCAGGCCCGATCTCACAGCACATTGAAGACTTTCTTCAGTCTATTCTCTGCACTGGCAGGACTTGCAGTTAAGTGTGTGAAGGTTGAGCCCTAAATCACTGTAACGGACTCTCTAGAGTAAGATGCAGTCCAGTATCCCCTGGAGTACCCGCTCTCATTTAAGTGTGGTGGTTCAGTCTTACTGTCACGGACTGGGCTTATGATGCCCGCTGATCTTATTAACGATGATGATGATCCTCCAACCTGTTCGTCATCAGTGAGTTGGCAATTGACCTAAATATAGGGTGAAATGTCTGCTGAGAGAAAAAGGTGATGACTAGACTATGGAGTACTTGTCATTTAAATAATCTATGATACCCCCCCCCACAACCCACACCCCACTCCCTTCCCCCTATTCCCACCCACACACACTTTAGTGATAGTGGACACTTGCTGATCTCTGGACTGGAAGACCAAGTTTTCTTTATCCATGACTATTTATTTCTACTTCACATACTTTTCTTTCTGGAGGAAGCATTTTTCAAATCTGAGATACAAAAGAGTATACAAAACATATCTGCAGGGTTGACATAATCTATAAAGGCAAACACCCATGTAAACCACACCAAGGTCAAGAAATAGACCATTGCCAGCCTTGCAGAACACAACCACTGTATTCCTCCCAATCACAGCCCAAGCCCTCCCGTGTGGGCATAGTCATTATCCTGATTTCCTGATAATCTTTTCAGTGCTTTTCTTTATAGCTTTTACCTCTTTTGTGCACATCTCTAAGCAATGCAGTTTACCTGAAGTTGTATAAATGGAACCATACTGAGAACTTCCTTTTATTGGCTTGCTCCTTTCACTCTGCGTTATATTTGAGGGTTGTACATTGTTCATAGTATCTGTAGGTAAAACCTTTGTCTCCATTGTTGACTAGCATTCCAGCATATGCTCATAGCAAAGAGACCATTGTATAATTCCTCTCTACAGCAAATGGGCGCTGGGGTTGTTTCTAGCTTTTGACTATTAGCAGGAATGATCTTGTGCAATTTTCATGGAACTCATGTGCAGAAGCCTCTCTAGAATACACATCCAAGAATAGCCTCAACCTGACTGTAAGCTATGCATATCTTCAGCTTTACAAAGTGATGCAAAATTGCCCCCCTTTTGTGAGATGGGGGTCTCATTACATAGCTCAGGCTGGCCTGACTTCCTTGTTGCTGTGCCAATTTTCATTCCCACCAACAGCACAGAGAGATCCTGCTGCCCCACATATTCACCTACAGACTTCAATTTTTACCCAAATTCCTCTTAAGCTTTAGCACATTTTCATGGTTATGAGCCTTTTGGATTTTCTCTTCGTTGGCCAGCCGTGGTCCAATCGAAGTCTTTCAACCCATTTTTCTATTCCATGGTCCATCTTGTGCTTAGTAGTTTAATTGGTTTGTTATATGTTTTAAATAACAATCCACATGCATGGCCACAATATTCCCTTGTCTGTTGTCTTTTTACTTGCTTTGTGCTGTGTTTTGTGAACTGAAGATCACAGTTATAACAGAGTCAGATGTAACATTATTTTCTTTATGGCTAGTGCTTTTTCTTTTGAAAGAAATACGTCTTAATAATCTTTTCTGTTTTATGAAACCCTGAGCCCAAAAAAATTATTCTCTGCATTGCCTTATAAATTTTGTATGGGTTTGCCTCTCACGGTCAGGTCTTAATCCACCTGCACTTGATGTTTGTGTAGGGTGTTCAGTAGGGTTCCTTTGATGTGGATATCCAATTTTCTCAGTGAGCCACTTATTGAAAAGCCGTTCCCTTTTCCAGTTGGTTTTGTGTACCACAAATCAACTATCTATATATGCATGGGCTAGTTACTATACTATCTATTAAGTGCCACGGCCCAATTTATCTACATGAAATAACACACTGCCATGATCACTACAGATCTATAGTCAACCCTGATATTTGGATAAGGCTAGTCAATTCTACCTTGCTCTTCAACAGTGTCTTGGCTATTTTTGGCTCATTTCAATTCCATTTAAATTATCAATTCATCATAAAATGTTCAACCAAAAGCTTATTTGGAGTTCTAGTTAGGACTGTGTTGATATTTTAGATTTGAGTTGAATGTTGGATTCATGTTTATGGCCTGCCTCTCCTTTTCGTAATATCTCCTTTAATGTGCTCTGGTAATATCTTGTATTTTCCCATTAGATGACCTTTTATCCTAGGCATGTCGTGTTTTACAAATATTACCTTTGAAGTTTTCATTTTCTAAATGTGTTGCTTGTAAATGGAATGACTCTCTCCTTTCTCTCGCCTCTCTCTCTCTCTCTCTCTCTCTCTCTCTCTCTCTCTCTCTCTTTCTCTCTCTCTCTCTCTCTCTCTAGTGGTGAGGATTGAGCAGATGCAATAGGCAATTGGCTCGTGTATGTTAAGGCTTAATGCTATATCCTACAAACCACTAAACTCTTTTACTGATTCCAATAATTTGTCTGTAAATAGTTGCAGAACTTTATGTACACATTCATGCATCTGCTAATAATTCCAGCCTTTCTTTCCTAACATTTTATTCTTTGTCTTGACTTACTGCTCTCTGTGATCACTCCTCCTCCCCGCTCCAGGATGATTAAATAGAACTGGTGATAGTGGACATTGTTACTTGATGCAGCTCTCAAAGAGAAAGTTTTCAGTACTTTTGGTTAAGAATGAAGTTTGCCTAGATTCATGTCTTTCACCCTGTACAAATATCAATTCAAAATGCATCAAAGACCTTAATACAAGCCCTGAAACTTTGAAGCTAGTGCAGGAAAGAGTAGGGAATATGCTGGAACATATAGGCATAGGTAATAAAGGCATAGGTAATAACTTCCTCAATAGAACTCCAATGACTCAGCAACTAAGAAAGAACTGACAAATGGAACTACGTGAAACTGAAAAGCTTCTACACACCAAAGGAAGCAGTTACAAGACTAAAAATGCAGCCCACAGAATGGGAGAAAATCTTTGCCGGCTATACATCAGACACGGGATTAATAACCAGAATTTACAGGGAGCTCAAAAAACTAAATTGCCAAGGAATCAATGGCCCAATAAAGAAATGGGCAAGTGAACGGAACACAGCTTTTTCAAAGGAAAAAGTCCAAATGGCCAAAAAACACACAAAGACATGCTCAACTTCAACTAGCTATGAAGGAAATACAAATCAAGGCCACATTAAGATTCCACCTCACTCCTGATAAAATGGCTATCATCAAGAACCACAAACAAGCACAAATGCTGGCCAGGATGGGTGGTGGGAGGGAGACAGGGACCCTCATACACACTGTTGGTGGGAATGTAAATTAGTGCAATTCACTATGGATGACAGTGTGGAGGCTCCTCAAAAAAAAAAAAAAAAAACTACAAACAGAACTACCAAATGATCCAGCAATGTCACTCCTAGGGATATACCCAAAGGAGTGTAAGTCAGGTTACAACAATGACTCCTGCACACCTATATTTATTGCAGCATTATTCACAATAGCCACGCTATGGAAACAGCCCAGATGCCCTACAACTGATCGATGGATTAAGAAAATGTGGACTATACTTATAGTGGAATTTTATCTATCCATAAAGAAGAATGAAAATTTGTCGTTTGCAGGTAAATGGATGGAACTGGAGAACATCATCTTAAGTGAAGTTAGCCAGCTTCAGAAAGACAAAGGTCACATGTTTTCCCTCACATGTGGAAGATAGACCTTATACAAACACAAACATTTTCATAATATACATGTAAATATGCATAGAACATGTTTCCAAAAGTGGGACTGTTAGAGGAGACTAAGGGAGGAGGAAAAGAAGAACAGAATGATAGAGAGTGACTAATAATGGAATACATCACATCTGTGTAGGAATAAGATACAAAGAAATGCACCGAAAACTGTTGAGCAATACGGGGCAGGGGGGAAAGGGGTGAGGAAGAGTAGTGGAGAGGGTTGGAATGATTTAAGCACAATACATTTGCAGGTAAAATACCAAAGCAAAATCCCCACTGAACAAAGAACAGACACTTAAAAATGAAAGATAGAAATGTAAAGCAGGCCATGTTAATGAGAGGGCACTAGAGGGAGGGGGATGGTAAATGAAGACGGTGAATATGGTTGAAGTATTTTCTGTACATGTATGAATATGGTGTCACTGGCTAAGAACAGAGAGACTATGAACCCTGTGATTTGATCCTACACAGGGCTTACCTGCTCCACCTGTAAGGAGAACCTTGCTGTGTGGTGAGAGTTCCTCTTCCATCATAAGTGTGAGTAGCAAATGTTTTCCTCAGAAATAGACTAGTTTTAAGGAAGGCAAAACAGGTCCTGTCTGGGGGGTTGATACCAATTGGAG